CTCTTGAACGAAACGCCATGATTGCAGAATTCTGAGCCTCTGAGAGTGACGGCTTTCCACTGAGGTGTCATGTCGACTGTATGATCCGCTCTCAAGCCGGTATTAACGTTCTTACAGAATCCAATTGGGCTGATATAGTAATCAGGTGCATTCCTGTTAGCGAATGATTGACTTCCCTTTCAGCAGCTGGAAGCTTCGGCCTTGCTACAAGTTATGCCTACATCAAATGAAAGATATGCATCTTTCTTTATTGAAGAAGGAGCTCTGAATGGTTTACTGGATATGGAATCCATAGTTACGGTTATCGACTTCAGCGCACATTTCAGGGCATGCAGTGAAAAGTGGAAACGCTTATTGTGAAAAATGTCTGAAGCAGCCTTGACAATAACAGTATGAAGTTATTTCGTTTTTGAACCAGTAACGAATTTCTAGTAAAGAATACGTTTCAGCTGCCTTGGTATAATAAGCTCTTTCTTACTGTACATTTAATTCGTCACTCAAGCCGAAGCAGGTACACCACCTAATGATTTATGAGTCAGTTTTCAGTTTCTTGTATGTGACACAACGTCACTCATGGAGTATCTTTCCTTCTAAAAACGATGAAAATCAAACGGTCAATATGGGAAAACTGCTTTCAAAATGATGTACGTGACAAGGAAGCTTGGAGTCAAATTAGCCGTTCACAGTCTCTATAAAGTATAAGTTTGACTTTCAATACACACGGGTATATTTGTGTACGACATTCCTGACAAACTTCGGATAACAGGATGAAGTGCGAGCAACAGAGTCAAAGAAAAGTGTCACAGCTTAAAGAAACACATAACTAATCATAATCCTTCAATTTTAATCGTCAGCTATAGACTTGGTGTTAAGAAAAACTTTACATAGTATAAATAAGACAAGTTTTAACTCATATTACGTGTCCTTCCTCTCTTGTGGGCAGAGTGAAAAAATATTACTGAACGGGAAATGTGAACATGAATAAAAAGGAGCAGTGTTGCAAATAGATGGCAGTTAAAAATAATGTTTTAACAAATTCTAGTGCAAAATAACTTTCCCTAACTGCTAACTAACTGACTCGATAATTTCCTCTGTGATTCTGCACAGCCCTTTGACTTGCGAATCAGGGGAACAACAGTGTGGTTCATACGTAGTCCTTCCAACGCATAGGGCATTAACCTGAGCTATCCGAAGTTTATAGTTTAGAGTTACCTTTTGTACTGACTCAAATGACAGCTAATTTAATTATCACAATGTATAACCCTTAAAAATTAGAAACATCTCATTTTAGCGAATCCATAAGTATGATTCAGAAATAAAGATATCTGTTGTTAACAATAATTAGAACCTGAAAACTAATCAGCTGAGCGAAGTATTCTGTAATCTGTTGTGCAGAAGCTATCTCACGTGATTGTTGTAATATCACAGGTGCACGATGTAAGTTGTAAACAACGCTGTTTGGTCCGTGTTAAAATGGTAAGTACAAGCTCCAGCTCCACGACTCTCGTAGAAGCCATCCGTCACAGATACCTGGATGACGGCGACGATGAAGGCCCGGATTTGAACTTCAAGGCATCCGGCGGTTTTGCTTATGACATGCTGTGGAACGGTAATAATGGATACTTTCTTTTAATTGAGACTCGGGATCACGGGTCGACCAGTTACCATTGTTACCTAACAAACTTATAAACGTTCAGTTAGGACAGGATCTCATTTCGTCATTGTTTTCCTCCTGATTAACCTTCCATCGTCATGGTAAACAGTTCCCAGATGAACGTTTGAAACTTAAAGATCAAGATGAGTGCAAATTTAGGATTTCAAGCAGACGCTGGTTGATAAGAAAAGTTTTTTTTAATATTCTTTGATCCATATTTTTTGAGGCTTGTTAAACAATTGCTTGCTACTATTACGTTATGGCTTATTGTTCAGTGCACTTTTGTTTTTTTATCAGACTGCCGCAGTCTGTCTGTTGTT